CTTTTGGATGTCTGCAATTTTTGTGAAAGAAATCGCCAAATGCGAAATCTCATTCTTCTCGATCCCATGGTAAGTGTTGCTGCTCCTTGACTCATCGATGCCTGTGCAAGTCATTTGGCTTGATACAATAGTAGTCACACAAGAATTTGCAAGCCAATACTTAGGAGACTTTGAGTTTTTGGTGTGTACCTGAATGTCAAATGCGATGATTTAATTTACAGGCGCTGTCACCGCTTTCACCACTGCTAAATCTGATGCAGCACTCCACGGAACCCTAAAGCCCACCTGACTGGTGTTCTGTGGATGACCCTAGTTGATGCTCTTTCTCCCTTTCACCACGTCCCTATTCCTCGTCAAGATGTCAGAGGTGAGGAAGAGGTGGAGCGCCCATACCCGCGACCACTTTATCTGCGATTGCTCACTCTGACAGCCTTTCTGTCCAATTGGCTTGCCTGGTTCTCTCGAATTGAGACCTATTCGTCGTTGGGCATATCACGTTTTCCGACATCAGCTGTCTCCGACCCCGTGGCAGGATGCGTGTTGTGACCATACAGTTTGGGTTGCGGTCAGTCTCCCCTTTTCGATCTGTGGCCGCTTTGGTTGGCTCGACGACTGCTACTCCTGCCTTTCCATTTACCTCGACTGTTTGGCAGACACATCTCGCGGCACATCTTTCCTCTCACTGACGTGGATGAACTTTAGTGCCAGTCACTTGATTCAATTATTTTTGCTAAATCATTTGCTCTACTTTATTACTGATGGGACATACCGCCAGATAGATGAAGACCCTCATCTCGACCAAGCACATTGGTCAACTTTGGTGGTAGCAGATTCTCTGCATAGATCAAAAATTGATCGAATAATGAGATGTTAATCAATTTCTACACGCTGTCGCCATTTGCAATTACTGAAACATTTGGAATAAACTTGATTACATCGTATGATCACTTAACTAATAAACAACCCACCATAGTTGAATCTAATATCTATTACTTTGTGAATTAGCTAAGCCAATTTTTGCTATTCCTCCTTTGATCGTAGTAGATGAATAGAGTTTTATAATTAAGTGAAATTAGCAATGACTATTCACACCGCCATCAATCTCATTACACGTAGTAATTTTCTAATTTTCGACACAGTTCGTGGAAGAAAACTTAGAAATTACCGCGAGATGGGTGAAAACCCGCATAATGATCGAGTACATTGGGCAACTTCTCCACATAGGTCAAAATTTATCGAATGAGAAGATGTTAATCACTTTCTACATGCAGTCTCTGTTTTCTAACACTAAAATATTTAAAACAAACCTGATTACTTCATATGTTAAATTGGCTAACCTGGAATCTACCATACCAGCACAGACATGTGAACGCATTGGCACATTTGTCCCAAAACATCAACATCAGAAGAGTGTCAGCCAGTTTCATCGGTCTGTTTTGACGTTGGATGGTTTAAAGCTACGTACAGTTGAACTATGCCAGCAACTGCTGATCTACACGCAAACACACACACACACAAAGGTTTACAAAGTTACGGTAGTTAAAATAATGATCCTGCTAAAAGCAATATCGTAAGTTCAACAAGGCCATAAAAACCTCACAGTGGTTTCACTGACGTGACTGGTCGCATTAGACTCAAACTGATTTTGGAAAATAACTATTAACACAACGCACACAGTGGCTATAACCATACGCTTTGTTCAAGATCACAAGTGTGGTTTGCGTGGGTTTAGTTCTCAAGTGTCAAATCAAAGTCACATCAAGATTTCCACATTTCATAATCTGGGTGTGTGGAATTCCACGATGACAAACAACTTATGGCCACCTCCATTTTTTGTGAACTACTTGTCTGCGCATATACACAATTTCACCACAACTGACTCACATGCGACAGTTTACTTTAACCTACTGCGAGTTTGGCGGTTCAGACGCTTCTCCAATCATAGTTAGATTGAGAAAAAAATAGGTCAGTTTAGTTCTAATGCTCCTATGAAGTACCTGTCAAAATACATTGATGTGTATACGCGAAAGGCTACAAGGAAATCAACATGAGCGTAAGTTACATGTGCCAAATTCTGGCTATTCGAAACGTACTCTAAATGTTTATGCATTAATATTACCCGTGATGGTGCAACCTTAACAGATTGGTGGTGCGAATTGAGGCTATCTCCCGATATTGACAATGTGTGGCACACATGTAAGAACTTTAATGACTGTTGACGTGTTGTTATTTAGTTTAGGCTGTCGTCAATTTGGTTAAGAGGTGTACTCACAAATCTTACACTGGAAACACTACATATCAACCTACCCTTACAATTGTAAACTTCTCATGCATGAATTTGGAACATCTCCTGAGGCCCGACGTGGTAGAAAACAACACCATTTGCTCACACAAACGGCCCCAGCCTGTTTGCAAGAATTAAATTGTCCTGTGTCATATAGTGTCAATACTCAAACTGGCATTATTTCCTTGCTCACACCTTAAGATTGACTTACTTTGAAATTTTAAATACCGCAAGCCATCTCTACCATTCGATGATGGCTGCCAATAAACCTTTTCAAAAACCACAAGTCAATGAGGAAAGCTTGTCAACACTCCAAACTGTAGGTCCACTGCTCACCAGATTGCATGGACACGAAGATGATTCTGTGACTTGTTTTCTAGTTCAAGCACTCTACCATAACTACATTCGATTCATTAGTCAATGATGCATATTTTGCCAAATGTGGAAGCGGCAACAGCGATTCGATGTCTAGATCAACAGGGAATCGGCGATTTTGGCAAAGGAAACAACATTTTAGCCGAACACGGCTATATTACCTTTTTATTCTACATTGGCAAGGAATAGAAGCGTGTTCGTTTCTAAGAATAGTGTTTGTTAACTGCTTGCAACGAATTTCAACTTCTTGCGCTCACTCTTGTGTACGGTGGCATGCCACGACCCATTGGTTTAGCTACATTCTAGTAGAAGTCTTCATAATTTTTCTCAGGGGCACAAGCTACAAATATTTGCATTAACGAGTTACAGAAATGTCCTGTGGTGAATATGATTTCAAAATTGCAGTCAAATATGCAAAAAGAGATAAGAATCAAGGCCTTTTTCAAATTAGTGACAGACGAAAGCGTGTGGCGACCGGTCAATGCATCAAATTACTTTCTACAGCAAACGCACACCTCAAGTGAACAGAGCTGACCGATCCTAGATTAAGTTACTAGTAAAGCCTTCACTAGGCATCACGTCACACCCCGTGAACGCAGAGGCAGTAACAATACAGGGTGGCGTCAATCGATACATTAATTTCTTACACGGCATCCTCCACATCATTTGCATCATCATCACTGTCATCCTCCTCCTCAATCACTGAACGACATCCCTTTGTCTCTGCCTAATCGCACAAGGCTTGGTTCCAGCACAAACCGTTAAAGTTACACACGCAGACCGCATCGTCTTCTTCGCGAAAATGATTCTGCTACCCAGCCACCTACATCAGTTGTATGGTAACGCAAAATTTTGATTGTCGATGAGCTGAATGAGAGTCGCTACACATCTTGCAGATTGTAATATCAACGAGTTCAACCAACACGAACACTAGGCACATGCCGTTAGGTAATTGTAATTGTATTTTAAACAAGCTCATTGTTGACCAGTTCAGATCTCACAGAATGCTCACAGCAGTAGATTCAAGAGAGACGTTTTTACGCAGGATCAGTGGTAAAGCCAATTTATCACGTTTCTGTATTTATTGCAAAATAGGCCATACATTAAGAAGATTTAGAATACCTCGTCGATGTCCTGTCAATGTTTGGATGGAAGATTGGTGAGTTGAATGTTGCCTGTTGACCATCACTCGGATACGACAGGGGGCATTGAACCTAAAATGTGCATTGTTTTCAACAAAAGACGCACTTATAATGCACTTACGAACGCAAATACTATTAAAGGTAAATGTATCTTGCAATTAGAAAGGCTGCTAATTTGAGAATTTGTTAAATAAGCGCCAGCACCTTTGCTGACTACTTAAAGGCAGCTACTTTCATCAGCTTGCAACAAATATTCAACTGTCCTCTGAGTAAGCAAACTGATGGCCTTGTTTTATGAGTGCATATTTGGACACTAAGAGCAAATGCAGCTGGTAACTTGCACGAAACTACAAATCGTTGTTTTTGTGTGCATGATCAAGACCTTGTTTCTCTGAAAGTTGACAAAACACCATGACATGCTGCATGCGCAATCCGTGGATTGACTTTGAATACTTAAATCCTGTTGGCGACAAAGTAAAATTCAGTTGTCTGCAGAAATGATGAAAAGGATTTCGTTGAAATTGAATGAAGTGTGTTCGATGATAGTGGCATTTAGGAATGCTATTAGCGATCGCCTCAGTCAACTATGGCATTACTGGCTACACCGTTTAGTATATCTAATAATAGATCTGAGTTCGACCAATTCACATTAAAATCTGGCGTCTGATTAGGAGCATTCATATAGACAAGTCAATAGAAATGCGATTGTTCATCCCTGCTTCCTCTCATGCACTCATACTGCTTCCACTGCTTATATTCCTGTTAGCTGCAAAATACACCGATGTGTGCAAATAGTCTTAAATTTGATCGGCAATCAACTTGGAACTAACCGAGACAAGTTTATCTGGAGCTTCATCAAAGTGTATATGTGAGTGAAATACTTGCTTAAAATATGTAGTTTAACAAGTTTAATACTCTCTACACCTGTAAAAGTCTTTTTCGAAAATATATTGTTTGTTCGAAGCAGCCTGTGCGTGCTTCGCAGCAGGTAAACTTACTTCTAGTCCTTATTGTTTAGCTTCTAGTATGTATTTCGTGAACTTATTTTCAGTTTCTTAAAGGTTAATATCTGGCATTGGGACTGACTTTGCCACTTGGAAAAGATAATCGACGACACGCTGAAGCCACAAAGCAAAGACGATAGTGAGAACATAAGAAAGCGTTTATGTGCTTTCCACTTTGAACACTTTAAATGACATTTAACAGTGAGGTAGTTGTAAAAAACTATCAGTGGGAATCTGAATCAAGACAACGGATATATTAAGATTATCAGCCTCTAAATTGCATACCACTTACATTTACCGAAATTCCGAAGTCAGACGGCTTAATCGACTATGTTTTAAGTACTAACAGCTTGGCTTTTTAGCAGTTGCAGTTTTTTGAAGTGTTCGATCAGCATTTCGCTACCTTAAGCCTTAATGATTGTTTTTTTGTTAAAAGAATGAATGATATTTTATCCCATCTACAATGAGAATAAAAAGCGAGGAAGAATGTATCAGTTTAGTGGCAGTGTTAGAAAATTTTACAAGCCTTAAAATTACTCACCCATACAAGCCCTTTCGACAATATTTTTATATCAGAGCTGCTTTTGAACTCAACAACAAATTAAACCTGTTCGTTTGCACGTGCATAGTCACCTTGTTCTGCCTCACCCGCTATAAATCAAATGAGTAATTATTCCTCACTTTGAAATGAAAGACCAAACCTGTAATTTACCACACAACTAACTGAATGTGTGAGCTATATATACATATTCAGATCACAATTTAGCTACATAGAACAAAACCAATGCCTTTTTTCGACATTTTCACAACAATGCAAATTCGACAGGTCTGAAAATCAGAATGCAGTGGCTTGCATAAGAAATAAATTTATTTACAATAAATGTAAATTGCAAATATATAATATTTATTCAATATTGTTGTATAAGAATTAGAGAAACAAGTTAGGGGTACAGTAAACTCTAACTGGTCAACCTTGACCACAATTCGCGGAATTCGTAAGTGGTCTCAAAGTGTGGCTGAGGTAGCTTCGTTTGTCTTGTCATTTACCTGAATAAGGTAAGGACAATAGGTTGTGTGTCATTTTAGTCAAATGCTGATGTACATTTTAGATGTAGAAAATTCCTAACTAATGTACTTTTCAAAGTACGTTGTCTAATTGAGTCCTTGGCGTTCCGAATGTTTAAGTTTACTTTAAAAACCTGATCATCTTCCGAAATGTGAACGGGCTGTTATAAACACATAATTTGCATCTTAGGAGTTATTGGATTCTGTAGTAAATTGTTTGGCTTTGTTCTAACCTTAGAATCCTCAATAGTGCACTTACCACCACTAAATTCAAATCGCATTCTGCTTTGAACGCATTATTTAAATAGGGACCCACAGACATTCAAATGACTTGGTCTTGTTGTAGCATAGGTTGGGACACAAGCCGAATATAGTGTTTCATCTATTCAGAGAAACCGTGACTACGTTCCTGTGTCTTCACAAGTAACTTATTGCCCCATCCACTGTTTTTTCGTAGAATGTCCCATTCAACGAGTCAGCGCTCATTTCTCAAAGATGTTCAGCAACTTTATCGCACGATTGATACCTCGATTGACGGCCAAGACTTCATAGTGTCCGTGAATGAATTGTCAGTGATTGTGTCGTTGAATCCTAAATTTAGTTACAATGCACACGCTGTGTTTATTGTCAATGTAAGTGTTTTTGAATTGTATCATCACAAAATATGTGAAGTAAAAATGACAACTGTGTTCTTTGATCATATTTGTAAGCAGCACGTGTTCTAATGCCATGCTTACTGCCTCGTAAATTACAAGTACATGGAATTATGACAGTCAATCACATGACTGCCAGATTCACAGCGCGTTTATATATTATGGCAATATGGATAAAATTAACGGATTTTGAAGTTTACATAAGTTTGAGTGGTTGGTAATAAGGAATGTATGGTTTCTTTCTGCTAGTTTTGTTTCGTAATTGCAGCCCATTTACGATTCGACGAGATTCCTTTTTACTGGCTGCACGGTCTAAGTGATAATCTAAACAGCGTTTACACATGTTGCTAAAGAATCCAGTTTTATGCTAGCAACGTAAAAAATTGTTGAACCCTGTAAAACATTTGTATATTGCATAATCGTCAAAAATGGCGCAAATGCTTTCTTTTGTTCATTTAGATTTTTTGATGCCTTACAGATTGATTGCCCTTCAGCTTATCACAAAGCCGGTCCTGAAGTCCACTTCATTAGGCCAATCCTTCATCCCAAAATCGACGTTGGTGATGGTAGCGTTTGTTTAAGCGTTTTCAATGAATGGCATAATTACGAATTACTTCAAGGTAGCATGTATTATTAAGTCAGCTGTTCCGTCGTTTTCGTCACGTTAATGTTTGGATTAGTAAGCGTACATATTTTGAAGTCATGCGTACAAATAACAGGTGTGAGGTTGTTGAAAAACGCACAGTAGACTTAAGTGCTGCGTTACCCATAAACAATGAACAATTACTTTTGCATGAAGCCTTACTACTGTTTAATTGTAGCGTCAATGTCGCTGCAGTTTTCCTAGAGGCTTTAAAACTTCTCTATTTTCACTTATTGCAAATTCAAAAAATTTTTCGCACACAGACTGTTTGAGTTCGTTTAGCAATGTTGCTCGACGCGTCCATAAGGCAGTGTGTTGTTATATCGGTGCATTTAACTTTCAGCTGTTACAGCCTGTTGGATGTGGACATGGCCCTCACCTACCTCTTTGAGAATCCAAATTTTAAATCAGCAAACAGCGCATATTTAACGAATGGGAATCTTTACACGAAAATGACGTTGTGGTTTCTGGCAGGTCTGCTTGTAAATGGGCGGCGATTTCCGCCTAACCAAGCCAAGTATGAGTGAGCAGAGACAATGGATGCTTGCCTGTTGATGACGAAGAGCTTGAAGACGATTCGAACAAAGTCGGAGATGCGGTGCGTGTGGAGACCCAACAGAAGCTAAACAAATGCATTGAGTCTCTTCCTTACGTTGCCACCTACGCACATGATGCAAGTCAATGGTCATAGCAGCATTATGGTTTGACGTGAATTACTATTGCCAAATGAAGCATAAATTTGCTACTTACCGACAATGAGTTTGGTGCCATTGATTTACGCTTGCGTAACCTCAATTCCGCTCAAATTGGGTTTGTCAAATCTACTTTAAAACAATGAATTCATTAGAATTGTTTAAGTATATTTCACCTGTGCTTTTTTTTTAATTGTACTTGTCTAGAAATTAAGGCAGATGAGAGGACCCATCGACATTATTTGGATGCTTCCTCTGACACTGTTCCTTCTTTCGCCAAAATACGATTCTCTCTCGACCCTCTGAGTGGCACGTCATCGTAGACATTCTACGTGCATGATTACTATTGCAGATACTTTAAGACCCAGCGCATTCGCATTTGCTACCTAAGTTTGAACAAGGAACCTTCACCTCCTTCGGTATTCTACTACAGCGAGTTCCTTGGTAGCTCTGTTTGTCGAGGTGAACTCAGTGATCTCTACAGCACGCTGTTCGCTGGCGACGTCTTGCCCGCCATGCAGGTCCACCCTGAATCCAGACAAACCTCCTCTCTTTGTCCCTGGTACCACTTTTACCACAATTCTTAATCCTCCTCCTGGGCCACGGATTCTGTCTTCAATCTGATGCGATACTCTGTGGAACAAAGAGCTCATCTGACTGGTATTCTGTGGATGACCCAAATCGACGCCCTTTCCCCCTTCTTCCGCTTTCCCATTCCTCGTCAAAAGGAGGTTGCGGAGGAGAGGTGGAGGAGCACGTCTATCCGCAACCAGGTTTTCTGCAATTCCTCACTGTGGCCGCCTTCGTGTCCAATTGGCTGGTCTGGTTTTCTCGAATTGAGGCGTACTCGTCATTGAGCATTTCTCGACACAAGCCATGCTTAATGTGTGAGTCCATGTTGGGATTTGTGTTGCTGCCTTGGAGTATGGGATGTGGACAGTCGCCACTTATTGATCTGTGGTCCCTTTTGTTGGCTTGGAGACTGCTGAACCTCCTTCTCTGTTTGCCACCAACCAATGGTAATGACATCTCACGACAGTTCTTCTCTTTCACCGACTTGGAATAGATATGATTTTGGTAATTTATGTAAGCCTATTTTTTCGGAATTCTTGGTGCCTCTTTATCAGAATAGACATTTTTTTATTTCTGATTTTCGCGGTAGTCTGTAAGTCTTCGATCCCGAAAGCTGCTAATCCCTTTATTAAGCCAAAAATACATATGGGGTACAAATTTGCATCTGCACTTTGCCACCATACTTTCAGTGACAATTGAACGCCATTGGCACATTTGTCCCAAAACATCAACATCAGATGAGAGTCTGCCAATTTTATCGATATGTTTTGACGTTGCATGGTTTAAAGCCACGTACAGTTTTACTATTCCAGCAATTGCCGATCTGCACACAAATATTCAAAAACTATAATAGATTTTATTAAGTCATTAATAAAATAACTTACTTGTAACGAGGATATTAAGGCCATAGAGCAGAAGCGATCCCAATTTGGGATTGAACAAAACAGGAAAATTGTGAAAAGTTAGTTTTTCACTGGTGCTGCATTTGGCTTAAACTGATTATTTACCAAATATTGCGCAAAAAATGCAAGAATAGGGGACTAAGTCACTCGTACGATTACATAAAATTAATTCAGACTACTCTGTTACAGCGGTGTATATTCAAGGCTAAGTAAAACCTGTTATCAGTGGTTGCATTTGACGGAATGGTTTTGTGACTATTTCCTGTTTTACCCTAACAGAACAGAAATGAAAATCCAGGTAAATAAAAGTTCAACATATTAATACTAAACTAACTTATCGCTATTGCTTGACGACGATATCACCGAAGGATGTCATAGGTTCGCAACATGAGAGACCTCACAGATACAAGCGCAATTTTCACGATTTTTGAATCTAATGATGATACAAAGTGTACTTAACTTATGAATAACACATCAGAATGCGCTGCCAATATTACGTCAACTGAAACTGTGTCACTTCATGTGAACTTGATTGTAGGAACTAGATTTATAATTAACCTACATTGTAATGAAAAAGGTTTCCTGTTTACAGCCAAAGTGGCATCGGACCATTTAATTCAGACATTTAAGGTTACACATTCTGCTTAGTTGTGCAAATTATATGTTATAAAGTAGCGATAAAAAAAACAAGTTAAAGGTTTTTACTTGGGGGATTGCTTCGTTAGAAAGCAAGAGGGTGATACTTACAACATAACTTATCATCGTAGATTACACACTACTACCCTATAAATAGCAATTCGTAATTATGATGACCGCGCTACGCTAATGATATTTCATAATTTCGACATTGACCTCAAGCACATTATTGAGCATCACTTTCCTGCCAGCAAGCATACAACGCAAATACCTCAATTTGCATTAAAGAACGACTGCAAAGGTTGCATATTTGCTGTTTTATTAATAGAATTACTCATAAGATTGTCAAGTGAGTGCAGTGTTGAGTATACGTCATCATTCACAAAAAAATCCAGGTTCATGAATTTTATTCACTTCGTTTTAGTTCTCGAGTCATTAGCATTTTATGGAATCAGCATTTCAATGATTGTATTCTCAAAAGCATTTAAACCTATCAAATTAAGCATTAAACCTCTTCATTATACTTATGACACCGAATAGAAATGTGAGAATATTTTTTCTTAATACTTGAATTCCGAATACACATTAAAAAATAATCAATTCGCATCCTTTAACTATTTAGACTTTTTAAGAAATGCTTAACGTTTCATGTAAGTTGTGCATGTACAATATGAGGACTAAAATCTAAGGCGTTAAAACATGCCGATAATCGACGACTCTGTTCCCATTCGAACTCATTCAAAACCTAGTTTTTAACAGAGAAAGCTAAATTACATGACATATTCCCTAAGAGAGCTTAAGTGTACTTCCACAGGCTCTGCATACTTGACGGCTTTGTTCACGTTCCAATAGGTCTGAGTCGGTCCTGCGCATGGTTTGTAATACTGAGTGCGAAGAATCAATTTTATCACCAATATTTTAGGTCATTATATTTACTGTACTTACTTCTGTAGAATATTAGTAACGTAATTGTTTACCCTTGCTATCACTCTGATACATTAATTTTTTAATTTTTGATTCCCGTTAGCCTTGAAAATACACCGCGAATCGCAAATAGTCCGCGGTTAGTTGGAAATTCATCGTGCAGGAAAAAAATATTTTGTGTCTGCATCCTACTAGAGTGTGAGATCATTACTGTGTTTCTTCCCTTTTTATGACACTTGTTTTTTTATCCTAATTTTTATAGGAATTGCTTAGAGTGTGCATTACATACAAATGCCAGCGTCTTCTCACGTTTGTCATTCATATTTTAAATTAACACGCAGTATTTTTTGCCTCCTTATCGAGTCCTACTCATGACCTCTTAAAAATATATTATGATTGTCATTTCACAAGTGTAATTTTTAATGCGGACGATAAATGTGATGTTTTCTTGCTATATTTATTTTAGTACAATTTATCACTGAGCTTGGCTTATTGTAGTTTTTATTTATGACTAGAGAATGTATGTAATACCTTCGGCAATTAGTAAAGGTCTGAGGTAATATTTACGAAGTTATGCGTGTACTTAAGAACGAGCATGAAAATGTTCCTTATTTGTCATTCAACACTAATAGTAAGTTGGGTTCCGTTAACAGGTTGGTGTTCCGTAAAGTACATCAAGTGGTTTAATTTGTTCATTCGCGCATCTAAGTGTTGTTTCACTAACAACAATGAATTGTCCATTTGTCAATCACTTACCATGTGAATGTTAGTGTGCGTGTTGCCTCTAAGGGATTTAGTTGAAGACTTCGATTCCTCTGATATATTCATAAAGTAGTAGCAACGTTTTTATGTTGGATCAGCGCTAGAATTTCTTGAATGAATAAATGTTATTTGTGTTCGTTAAGGCCAACATCTCTTGATTTGTGTTATGACAACTGCCATATATATATATAATTCAATTCTGGTTACTTGCTGGCGTATCTTGCTATACATCAGTGGCACATTTTATGTGGCAATGCTGGCAAACGTAGGCAGCAACTGCCGTCCTGGCACAATTTTCAAAGTGCGTGTAGACAATTTCTCATGCACTCACTGCCACTTTTGGCTTTGAGATTGTTGAAGATGTGTCGGCGATTCTATTTTTGGTGATACATAATGTAACGAATGCTGAATTCATGACCTGTACACCCCCAGACGTTTTTGACATAAATCAGCTTTGCCCATAAATAATTAACATATAAAAACTGTCATTCAGAATAGCATTGTTCAAGTATGTTGATGTATTTGGTTCAGAAATACAGCATGAGTAAGATGAAAGTACTAGCCTCCTACTCATTAACTCAGCCTGAACAATGTTTTTGGTCACAGATGTCGCGTTCAACAACTCGGCATTCAGTTGTAAAGGGCTTTCAGCAACTTTACCGGATAATGGAGACGTCGACAGATGTTTGATTTGTCCCTGAGTAAAACGTGCAGGCAATTAGTTTGGTTATTTTTATTAGTGATACTATGACACCGCTAACAAAAGCCGAATTTTTGACTTTTCAATTAAACACGGAATATGTTCCTCAAGTCAAGGCTTAGTATATTCCACGGAGTAATCGTTAAAGTAATATTGATATTTTTAATCAAAGTTAACAATCTATCATCCTGCTTCATGACTCTACCTGAACAGCATGGTAGATAAAACACTTTGTTTTCATTCGCAGATGTCGCGTTCAACAACTCAGCGTTCATATCTTAAGGACATTCAACAACTTTACCGGATGATTGAGACGTCGACAAATGGCCAAGCCTCAATAATTTCTGTCAATGAAATGTCAGTGCTAATCTCGTTGCATCCAAAATCTGGTTACAACGCGCACGCTGATTTCACTGTAAAAGTGAGTTCCTTTTGAGCAATTATTGTAGATCTCTTAAAGATTGGTAGGGAATTTAGTGGGCATTTATTTCTCTTGCTTCTATGTAACAACCAATATACCTTTAAACCACTTAAATTCTGTATGATGTCGACGTCTTGCTGATTGCTTTTTGCTTAGCTTAAATGTCATAATCAGCAGCTTTAAAGTGCTTTTCAAAAATGCTACGATTTGGGGGTCCACGCCACACTTACACCATCGCTGGCATTGAGACCCGGTACATAGTCATGGCATTAAGATTCCCCGAAGCGAAAAAGTCAACGTTTGTGTGTCTTATGCTGACACTTAGTTTTGTTTTGCAGATTAAATGTTCATTGTCCTATCCAAGAGAGAGTCCAGAAGTGACTTTTAACTCACCAATCTTCCATCCCAACATCGACAATTATTCGGGCTGCATTTGTCTAAATCTTCTCGATGAATGGCTTAGGTACGTCATAACATTTAGTCGACAATGGCTACGGAAAATGGGGTGCCAGTATAGAGATCTGGACACAAAGTGACCCAGGTAGAGTTGGTAGGTGAAAAATACGAAATACTAAGTGCAAACCCTTGCCAATACCTAATAAATGTGAAGTTTAATCGTCATAAGAGGATTGCGATTGAGAGTGTCATACAGAAAAAGGTGTGCTTGTTGTGTATGCTGGCGCGTTGTGTGTGGGCTGCAATCAGGTTGCATTATTGTGCATTACAATTACAGAAATGCAAGTAGTGGATTGGAGTGTTGGTTGATCTTGTAGCTGTTACAATCTGCTGGATGTCGTGAAGTCTCTTCTCTACCTCATTGAAAATCCGAATTTTGAAACGCCAAACAACTCATTTGGATACATGGAGAAGAGGAACCTGTTGGCAAAGAAGACGATGCGTGTGCTGGCAGGTTTGCCGGTGGACGGACAACAGTTTGCGCCGAACAGGGCATGGTGCGAGTGGGCAGAGGCCCATGGATGTCTTCCAATTGGAGAGGAAGAGGATGACGATGATGATGATGATGCCGAAAGAAGGAATGAAAGCAGGGCGGAGGCGAGTTTCGTGGATGCCGTGCAAGAATCAGACAGTAAGCATGGCAGTATCCCTAATGACCTTGCCCCTGCTTACAAAGTAAGTAACGTTGGCTACTTATTGGTTGTCAGCTCTGTTCTCCTGAGGCACACCACTGCAGCAGAAGGTCATTTTATGTTCTAACGAACGTTCAGACAGTTCAATTTGCAACCAGTTACCAAGTCGACTTGCCATTAGTGTTTCGGTTCATATTTGTTTGCGAGTTTGTTTGTAAAGTCGTGTGTTTGGTGAGTTATCTTCCCATCAATTGATTTTAATTTGTATTCTTTTACAGAAAGATGACAATGAAGACTTTAATTATGGTGCAGCCGTGTTCGACGAAAATGTTCTGTCATTTGCAAATATGCGGTTCTTCGTTGATTCAGAGAACGAATCACAAGTTTCACCGTCCTTTGAACGCGAATACACACTTGGATACATTGAGACTCAACGCATTCTTATTTGGCATCCTGGATGTAGTCCCAATGACAAGAACCCCTCGGTTTTCTACTTCTGCGAGCTTGTTGGTCATCATTCCTATCAGATGGAATTTGAAGATCTTTACAACATGCTTTTGACAGGCGATGTGTTGCACTCGATGCAAAGTCATCCTGAATCAAGACAAGCATCAAGTCTATGTCCGTGGTACGTTTTCCTTCAGCCCGAGCACTATTCTGATAAGTCGAGCACCACTTCCGTCTCCGATCTAGCCTTCTTCTTTTCTGAAAAAATGTTAACGAGGCCTATATTGACGAACGACTTTTGTCCGTGGTCTCATGTAGACGGAGGAGGTATTTGGAGCATCTTGGGTGGGCTGTTTTGTGAGCGACGACGACGACGGCGACGACGAAATTGGACTGATAGCACATCTGTGGAAACCAGTGTAGATGGCCATGATATGGCCTTCCTCTTCAACAGCAGTTTTGAAGTGGAGGATAGAAACACGAAGAAGGAATGTACAGTTGATGAAGAAGACGCAGAAAAAGTGAGAGATGAAGAAGAGGCCGTTAAAGAGATCGCAGTATATAATGCAACGGAGACACTGAAACAGGTGGACGCGAATGAGGTGGAAGTAAAGGAAGGTGTGGAAAAGTTGGAATGTTGTGGAGAAGCAGATTCACTTTTGGAAGATTATAGAACGGGTGCTGTTGATTGTGCTGAGGAAGTTCAAAGCATCATTGCTGAAGTTCAAGTTGAGGAAGTTGCGTCTCATGTTCAGGTCAATGTTCCTAATGAGATGCAGTCATCTGGGTCTTCAGGAACATACTATGGGGTAGAGCCAGATTCGTATAGATGGGGCGACAATGGATATATTACCCATGAATACTTTCAGTGTGTAAAACAAATCAACATGAACATGCAGCCACAGTGGCAATGGTTTTTCCGTCAGACACGCTGGCCATTTCGATTCGCTCCACAACAGAAAGTTGATGTGTCTGTGCATGAGAATCGGATCCCGCCATGGCGAGCGAGTGTCGGGCGTCTGCTTTTTGATGTCTGCAATTTTTGTGAAAGAAATCGTCAAATGCAAAATCTCATTCTTCTCGATCCCATGGTAAGTGTTGTGTCATTCTTTTCGTAATTTTCACGCTCGCTAAATACATCACTCAAGAATTTGCAAGTTAATGCCAAAACTGTAACTTGCAGTGTCGATGCTAGTACAAACGAATGTTGCTTTTACTCAGCTACTTGGTTGCCTTTACCGAGTGACACACAGACTGTAGTCAGAGTGGTGTGTGTGTGTCAGCATTGTCAGCTTGCTGGTGTGTAGCTTTAAGGACCTAATTGAAACTATGCAGCTAACTGATGTCTTCATTTTACCTGTTTGTAATTGCAGGCTTTATCACCGCTATCGCCACTGCTAAATCTGATGCGGCACTCCGTGGAACCAAAAGCCCACCTGATTGGTGTTCTGTGGATGACCCCAATTGATGCCCTTTCTCCCTTTTACCACGTCCCTATTCCTCGTGAAGATGTCGAAGGTGGGGAAGAGGTGGAGCGCCCATACCCGCGACCACTTTATCTGCGATTGCTCACTCTGACAGCCTTTCTGTCCAATTGGCTTGCCTGGTTCTCTCGAATTGAGACCTATTCGTCGCTGGGCACGTCTCGTGTTCCGCCATCAGCTGTGTCCGACCCCGTGGCAGGTTGTGTGTTGCGACCCTACACTTTGGGTTGCGGCCAGTCTCCCCTTATTGATTTGTGGCCGCTTTGGTTGGCTCGACGACTGCTACTCCTGTTCTTTCATTTACCCCGACTGTTTGACAGGCAAATCTCGCGACACTTCTTTCCTTTCACTGATGTTGACGAAATATGATGTTAATTACTTGATACTTTTATTTTAGCTATGTCGCTTATTCTATTGTTTTAACTGCCTTCTTTGTTAAATATTTGTATGATACCATGCTTGCACATAATAATGATCTAATGGGCCCACTTTTGCAACCAGCGTTCCAAGTCCGTTGTAATAGTTCTTCTTGTAGCTCGCTATTTTATTCCAAAATGCCAGGAGGACGTGGGAGAAATGCGCACGGGTTATGAGGTTCAGTGAGTTAGATCGATGACTTTGCATGTGACTGGCTGGTCATCGTGCATGTTACACCGCTTCAGCACACTGTGTAATTACCATCCAAAATGGCGTTGACCTGGTTTGTCTTGCTTGTGTATTATTTCAGTAGGTACGGATACTCACAATGTTTTGCTTAAAGAAAGATAATTTCTGAATAGCACCCATGTCCATTTAATGTGAACTATCGATGTATCTTGTCTTAACGATGTACACTTCAATCGACACCTGGTTTCGGCGTAGAGTACGTACGAGTAAAGGTATATTACGGAGTGGTTTTGGTACCACACGGAAGGGCTCGATCCATTTTCTATTAATTTTGTACAATGTCTGCAGTAATTATATTAAAGGAACAAGTTGGGCTTTACTGACCTGGCAATTAACTGGTTGATGTATTATTAAAATGTTGATTATTTTGAAGTTTACCTTGTCACGATTCGCACCGGAATTTCATTTACGGTCATCATTTCGTGGTTGTATTAAAATTTAGTCGCAAATGACGATTTAGGGTATTTCAGTAGCAATTTTTAAGTAATGTCACTTGGTCTGAAGTAGCCAATCATTCATGTGTAGTGAATCGTGTTGATTCACGTCCAATAACCCTGTCCTCGCAGCTTTCAGCACACCTCCCCCCTTGTCACGTGAGACCGCTGGTTCATCACCCCGCTGAATGTACCAACACCACCACTTCCCGCTTTGGTCATGTGACCTCACAAACGCCTGTGTTCATATTTACATGTCCACTCAACTGTAAAACAACACAACTTTGTGGAGCTACCTAGTAAACGGTCGTGCCTGCCATCTCTGGACTTATTGTCTTTCCGGGTTAGTCTCGTGGTAAAAGGTCTTAAACACATGATTGCCCCGTCTGCTCCGACACCTAGGGCATCTTCATTCATGTTGCTAGGTGTCGCTGACCATACATCGACATCTGTGTCTCTCCCATAAGAAAACTCCTAAAGTTACCTCGTGATTGGGAACCGCTGGTCTACCCAGACACAAATTTCTCCAGATGCTCTACACCAAGAGGGTTGCCACTTCTGACTCCGATATTCGTTCGCTCAGTACTTTGGTCGATTTAGCGTGTTTGCTATGCTGCAAATCAAAGCCTTTAGTAAGTAGTGAAATGCGCCAGTTTGGTTCTAACGATTATGCAAAAGCTAACGCAAAATCGCTTAGGAACTGTGCGCCTAAACGCCACAGTCAAACCAACATGAGAGTCATCTGCACGTGTCAATTGCCAGTTTCCTGAATGAACTTACAACAACATTATGCATGATAGTGCAATCAAGTTCGCTTAAAGCCGGGGATACAGACCTACTCTGCCTACGCACAAGGCGTAACATTCATGTGAAAACACTTATAACTTCAGGTATTCCCTTATTGAGATGAGCAAGTGTGAAGGAGACATCAGGCGAGCCAAGCACTCATCAAATAAGCTAAGACGGCAACATGCGGCTTCGCTCCACAGATTACTATACAACCGAACTAAAGTCCCTCTCATTTAATGAAGTGCTTTGCATGGGAGCATGAAGGCTCTCAAAACTGCACACTAACAAACAAAACCTGGAACCATTCCCCTGAGGCTTGACGTTGTTCGAAGCACCAACTTCCTCTCACATCAACAGCCTTAACATGCCTGCATGAGTTCAGTCACGTTGTGTCGTGTGGGGTCTATGAACAAATCGATATACTTTCTAGTCCCACAAAAAGGCAGTCTAAGAAACCACAAAAACTCTTGAATGAGGCTTTGAAGCGATTCAAACCAAAGGTCTAGAGATAACACCTTGTGTTGCACCAGAAAATATCTCCTAGTTCCCACATCTTGATATGAAAATGAATAGATTTGTTAGTTAGCTATGTTACGTCTGCTATTGCCTCTAACACCGATGCTCAGTTGGCGGTGGTGGATCAGTTCCAACCACATACATGCTTAGGTTCCATTTTGACATGAAGGAAGTAGATTGTTGATGCCATCTTGCAAAAAACGATCAAAACCAACAGGACCAAGGAATTTTGACTAATGCTACTCAATCACTTATTTCATTTACCTAACCGAGGATCAAAAGCCACCCGTGATTCACGGCCAAGTGGAATGTTCCCATGCAATGAAAACACAAGTATATTCTGCGGTGCGATTAGGAAAACGGTTCGAAAATACCTGCTGCATCTTGGTGTTAGTCTATAAGTCAAACGTATTTAATTCTTTCTCTACTTTTTCATGCAATACTGACTCTTGATCGAACATATTGGCTAGCATCTATATACGGTATGGTTTAAAAAGCCAGAGATTAGGATTTACTCTGTGGACGTTTCAATGTGTAAGGGTAGCAGTATTGGCTTTGCGCAGTCAACACGTTGGATAATAATTAATAGCATATTTAACCAGACGATCAAGACCATGGGACTGAAGCAGCACCTAAGGCTGCATCCACATCAGCATTTACGTTTTAACGAAATCAATTTGCATATTTGACAGTTAAAACGTAAACCTACTGCGATACGAGTGGTAACTTGTCATCGCTAGATTGCGGAACATGTAAAGGATAGCCTTAAGTAATAATACAAGGATCGGACAAACACGTAAGCACTTCGCCTAATTCCGAGACGAAGTGACAATAATGTACAATACTTAGTGATGACCGCCAAGTATCCTTAGATATTTTGTTCTGATAATGGCGGTGGCACCTGAAGTCTCGATGAGTAGTCTATTGAAGCCATCTACTCAAAGAGAAGAATTGAAAAAAATCGGATCTTAATTTAGATATTAATATTTAAATAGTTTGGTTACGTAGCTCATTTTCTAGAAACAGCCGAATAGTCGTCTTTGCTATTCTGTCACTAAATAAAATTTTGACTGAATGCCCTAAGTCAGGCGCGTCTAACAGCTTCAGTCTGCTTTGGCAGTCGCACTTACGTCTGTTATTTTATAAATAGACTTAAATCTCACATGTTCTTTCGTTCTACAAATTAATTTTGTCACAATTAAACAGATGAATAGCCAAAGATCAAGCTGAGCGTCATTGTCACTGTTCTAGTTTTAAACCAGTTTAATGCCCAACCGCCCGTACCAATATGTTGGATGCAAATAAGGTGAAAATGAATGAATTAACAAATAACCACGAAGGTGGATGTTTTGGACGGGCAATTGGGGTTTGAATTTGGGAATAAGAGAAGACTAGCTGAGGGACAGAGCCATGTTCAACTTCTGTTCAGGCGTTCGAATACAAGCGGATGATGTGAACGGCAGGCTTCCAAAAGGGGAATATTCCCAACACGAACGTACGATGCGAGAGAGGAAAATGGTCACTGAAGGGACGTCGGGATTCATGAAAGCAGAGCGAAATCTACACGCTAAGAGTTGGGCAGGTCTACAGAGGTGAAGATATGAAAAGAGGTTGTCAGGAGTATGACATGTTGCATGGCGTGTGTGACAGTTTTGTCATTCCGATTTACCACGTTGTCATTGTCAGTATATCTAATCTAAGATAACAATTGCAATTTTGATTTCACTTCCATCTCCCTGTCTTTGCGTTCCAAACTTTCTTGCACAGGACTGCTCACATTAATGTTATGCTTGTATTTAATCTCAAATGCGAAGACATGTGTTATTATAGCCAGTAAAATGTAACGTGCGTAAAGAACGTGGACTTAAATGGATAGGTTACTGTTATTCCGTCCCACTTAGATAGCCACATTACCGGCGTTGACTGCGAAAATGCGAGAGAAAAATAGTAGGTGGAACTAGATGTTTTTCATACTAGCGTATACAAATGCAGAGATGCAAGTTGTTGTGGAGAGAGTTAGTATTCGGAGACGAAGATTACGGACGTGGTGAGGGTCAAAGATGCACCGAGGCCCACGGTCATGTCATGAGAAAGCGAAATGGCAGTCAGGAGAAGGAGAACAAAGAATAGACCAGACAGGCGTGCGTTTGTCGAATAGCGTACGTCACAATGAGCACGTTTAAATTCCACAATCTAATTACGGCAAGCGAGAACCCCGTCGAAACATGTCTGCATCTTGTGTTAGTTGAGTGAAGCGCGGTAACGCGTGTAGATGAAAATTAGCTTATCCAAACAGCAGTACTGAGGGTCTCATATTGCTGACCTATTTTCACACACGACATCCCCTACTGTCAAAAACTTAACTATTCAACTCAAAATTATGCCAAAGCATTTTCCACTGTCAATTTCTTTCGAGCTCAACTTCATTTAAGTTTGTGTCATCAACCAACAGCCTGATCTAAACAAGCTCCAATCTTTGAAATTTTATATTTCAAATAAAAGTTTTAGTTCCAGGGGCAAAAAACGTGTTAGTTCAAACCTGCTGTGATGTGGTTGCCTTCACCAATCTAGACGCTCCTACTAAACGACGGAAAATTATGCTTCGTAACAATTGAGTAGTATTATAATAACGAATTTATTTGTCACGAATTAAGAAAGCATTACAGATATAAACAAATACAAGTTACAATTGAAAAAGAACTCATTTAGCCAGGTAATGTGACACCTGCCGCTGACTGGGGTGGTCTGATACTTGGATTCATTCAATCTTTCGCTCCAGCGCTAGGACAGTTGGCCAAGTCTTCTGGCTATGATAAAAAGGGGACAATGCTGAAACATCAATCAACTGAAACAACACGTCACACTCATATGATTACAGACAATTGAATCAAAACGGAAGAGACTGTGATATCCCAGTGCCAAGGACACACTAGTCCATTTACCATCTGTGGTATTCAGTGTCAA